ATGTTTCTCTCCAAAAAAAGGCAATTATCCAAAGAGTTTTCAGGTGCTGGCTTGGCACTCCAGGGCCTCACTACTGAATTTGTTATCCAGCACCTCTTCCCACATTTTTATGAGGAGAAAACCTGGGCATTGTGGTCAGCACTGCTAATTAACATGGACATCAGTTTAATTAAACCTCTCCATTCCCAGGGCAGTCCTCTGGGAAAGCAGAGGTGTTTGTTGGGGGTAGAAGGAATTCAGCACATTTTAGGAGGGCCTCAGCAGCATTTAGAAGAGCACAAGAGGGATGTGTCTCTGTTTTTGTGTAAAAGGTGTGGATCTCCTGGTGCCAGGCACTTCCTACAAAGGAGGAGTTAAATTTAAAACTACTGAGAAGCTCATGACAGTTTCTCCAGTCTGAACTATGGGAATCAGAAAAACAGAAACTTCCACAGGCACTGAAGGGTTTGAGCTGCAGCCTGGGGAGAAGCTTGGATTGATGTAAAGATACAATATACAGATATTAAGCAGAAAAATCATAAACTTATGGTTCTATAGTTGTAAGATTATGCCTTAAGCAAGTGAGCAGCTGCACTGCTGAGATGGTGAAGGGTTTGTGGTGTAGGGCTGGGGTTGTGTGGAGTGAGCTGAGAGCTCAGAATTAGAACAGAAGCATTTGTGTGCATGTGAGACAGAAGCCATTGGATAAAAGTATCCACAGTGCAGCAGAAGTGAGTGAGGGTGATGGGTTAGAAAAGCAAAATAAACCCTGTGGCAGCTGTCCATTGGGTTAGAAAGTTCTGTATTGCCTTGTAACAAAGAACTTGTGGCTGCTCTTGAGCTATGGCTGAATGCTTGCTCCTCTAAAATCTCACAGCCCCTGGACTGATGTTTGTCTGAGCAATAAATCATTTTTAGCTTGGAAATAATCCCACCCCTTCATCACCAGCAGTGCCAATGACACTGTACAAAACCCCATCCTCTGAAGGCTCTGTGGGAAGATGACCAAATGCAAGGTCAGGCAGATGGCAGGACTGGCACAGCCCTCCTGATGTACCCTGGCAAATCCCATCCTCCCAACCTCAACCCTGCAGCCTCTCCACCCATCCCTGATTTTGGGCAGGACCAGGAGCTCTCCCTGACTCCAGCTCTGTCAGACATCCCCTGATCTCCCTCAGGTTCTGCTGCCTGTGGGCATCCAGAGCCACAAAACCTTCCTGGCAGTGAAGGACAAAGTGTCACAAAGGCAAAGCAAAAGAGCTTGTCCAGACTGAATTCATCTCTGTGCTGGTTTTTCCTTGGATCTCTCTAAAATGCTGTTGCTGAGTGGCTTCACACACTCAATTGGAGGTTCAGGGAGCATCAATCCAATCCCTCCACCTCCATCATAATCATGCTGGAGGAAATAAAAATATTGCATTTACAGAGTGGCTGAAGGACACGTGGTGGTCGGTAGCTCCATGAGCAAGTCTGAGACTTGATCTCTGGTTTTCCTGCAGAGTTTTGGCTCAGGGCATCTCTGTTTCAATAAGGAAATCCCGTGACAGAGTCCTTGCCCGTGCTTGTGCCTAGACAGGATCAGCTTCATGATTTAATGGATTTAATAACTGAAGAACTGCAACAGGCTCAGCACATAGCTGGGAGCCAGGTGGCTCTGAGGTCCCTGAGGCCACAGGGGTGTCCCTAAGACCACAGGTGTGTCCCCAGGGTCACAGGTGTGTCCCCAGGGCCACAGGGGTGTCCCCAGGGCTACAGGTGTGTCCCCAGTGCCACAGAGGTGTCCTCAATGCCACAGGTGCGTCCCCAGGGCCATAGGTGTGTCTCCAGGGCTAAAGGAGTGTCCCCAATGCCACAGGTGTGTCCCCAATGCCGCAGGTGTGTCCCCAGGGCCGCAGGGGTGTCCCCAGTGCCGCAGGTGTGTCCCCAGGGCTAAAGGGGTGTCCCCAATGCCACAGGTGTGTCCCCAATGCCACAGGGGTGTCCCCAAGGCCGCAGGGGTGTCCCCAGTGCCACAGGTGTGTCCCCAGTGCCGCAGGTGTGTCCCCAGGGCTAAAGGGGTGTCCCCAATGCCACAGGTGTGTCCCTGAGACCACAGGTGTGTCCCCAGGGCCACAGGTGTGTCCCCAATGCCACAGGTGTGTCCCCAGGGCCGCAGGGGTGTCCCCAGGGCCGCAGGGGTGTCCCCAATGCCACAGGGGTGTCCCCAGGGCCCCAGGTGTGTCCCCAGGGCCGCAGGGGTGTCCCCAGGGTTAAAGGGGTGTCCCCAGGGCCGCAGGTGTGTCCCCAGGGCCGCAGGGGTGTCCCCAGGGCCGCAGGGGTGTCCCCAGGGCCGCAGGTGTGTCCCCAGGGCCACAGGTGTGTCCCCAGGGCCGCAGGTGTGTCCCCAGGGCTGCAGGGGTGTCCCCAATGCCGCAGGGGTGTCCCCAGGGCCGCAGGGGTGTCCCCAGGGCCGCAGGTGTGTCCCCAGGGCTGCAGGGGTGTCCCCAGGGTTAAAGGGGTGTCCCCAGGGTTAAAGGGGTGTCCCCAGGCAGCTGTGGAGGCCCAGCCCCAGTTCCCAGGGGATGAGCAGTGCCTGGCCAGGGCTGCAGCCCGGGGTGCCCCTTCCTGCCGGGCACAGCTCCTCTCCCTGGCACAAAGGCTGCTGGCACCGGCCTGGGGGAGCTGCTGTGCCAAGCTGCTCCCTGGAGCTTCCTCCCACACAGGACAGCTCCACTCCAGCTCCTTCCAAGGGGTTTCACTCTGTTATTCAAAATGCTGTGGCTAAAGATTATCCAGGAATTCAGCCATGAATGCCCAAAGCGGGTTTTGTGTGTGTGTACATGCAAATGTATACACAAAAATGTGTGTGCACTTATGGGATGAAGAATTCCCTTCATTTCCACTTTTTGATATACAGAAATGGGATTTTAAAAATATAAATAGTGAACAAAGGGATCCTTGACATAAACATTCCTCAGCCAAAAGAGGAAGTTTACTTGGATAGGAATATTTATAGGAGTGAGAGCTTGGGCAACAAGTCCAAACATTGTAACATAAAACTATCATAAGTATTTAAATAAAAAGTAGCATGATATAGTAGAAAAGTAGCATGATATAGTTCCTATTTATAAAATACATCTAAGAAATGAGTAAGTGTTAATCTGTATCATCAGAATGGCTTCCCTGTGAATGAAATTATTCATTAAGGTGGCCCATAATGAATATTTTGAGTTTTCTCTATACTGTAAAATTGTTAATTTTGTAAATTTTTTACATGAAGTCTGTTGAAAAGCTGTCACTTTTCTCGTGCACAGTTCAATGCACACATATTTAGTTGTAGCACAACTTTTATTTCCTTTCACTCCTTAAACACCCCCAAGTGTGCAATGCCTGGTGGAGGCACCTCCACGAAAGGGATTGCTGACCACGGGCAGATTAAAAACCAATTTAACTGATGGCCACAAACAGAGCTCAGAGTTTGCCATGGCCACAAAGATTTTCTGTCAGGGCATGAAAGCAATGAATCAGTATGCAGAAGGTATTGCCTGCCCCATAGAGATGCTAATGCTGTGGCACTTTGGAAACTCATGTTCTACATTTACTGTTCATACCCCATGGAAGCTAACCAGCCTTAGCCTGAGCTAATGAAATCAAAAGGCTGCAAAATGTCACATTTTCTCAAAATGTCACATTTTCTCATCCCCCTGAAGCCTAATTTTGGGATCTTTAGGCTCTTTCTATGAGTTGTTTGACAACCGTGGTGCTGCCTGGCTGTCATGAGGCACAATTGTCCCAAAGCTGGAGAGTTACACTCACACAGAGCTGCTGCAGCCACTTTATCTGCACAAAATAAAGGGCCCATCAGCCTCCTGCTCCAGAAAATGACAGAAAACCCCAAGAATAAATTAAAGAAAGTATAAAATAGCAGAACAAAGCTCAAAAGTTTCAGCAAGTTACCACTGGGGACTTACATTTTGTGGTCCATTGTTTTTTTAGTTTTTTGTGGGTTTTTTGATTTGTTTTTGTTTTGGTTTTCTTTTCCTGAAGTGCTATAAAAATATCTATGTGAGCAGTTTACACATTGCAGGCATGTTTAGACAGAATATTTTATACCTAGCAGATACTGCTATATATATTTGTAGATATTTGAAAGCTCAGGTATTTTCTAAGTCAGGACCTAATCTACAAATATATAAAACAGATGTTATATATAAAATATATAACCCATATAAAATATAGAAATATCTGTTATACACAATAGGTATAAAATACACAAAATATAAGATAATAAACAAATTATATAAAATATAGGAAGGACATTAATACAGTAATATATAAGATATGATGCATATCTAATATGGGAATATGAATATAGATAATATTTATAATATAAAAATGGTTTTTATAGAGATATAGATATATTTATATATAGTTATAGAGATTTATGGATTTATAGATATATAGGTATATAGATTTATAGATTATATAGATATATATTTTTATATAGTTATATTTTTATATATTTATATATAGTTATATATAGTTATATATAGTTACAGAGATGTATAGATACATAGATTTATAGATATATAGGTATATAGATTTATAGATTATATAGATATATATTTTTAATATAGTTATATTTTTATATAGTTATATATAGTTATATATAGTTATATATAGTTATATATAGTTATATATAGTTATAGAGATGTATAGATACATAGATTTATAGATATATAGATTTATGGATATATAGATTAATAGATTATATAGATATATAGACATAAAGACATATAGATATAGATATAAAATAAACATAAAATATATAAAACCACATAAAATTAAATAAAAATCCGCTCTCCAACGCAGCAATCCCAGCAATTTATGGCCACAAGCGCTTCTGGCAGCGCGCGGGAAGCAGAGCAACCCGCGGCACCCATTCCCCTGCCTTAGGGGCAGCGCAGCGCAGCCCCCAGCCGCCCTTCCCCGCTCCCCCGGCCGCAGAGAGCCCCGCGGAGGCTCCGCGGGCGCGGACTCACCGAGCGCAGCATCGCAGAGCAGCTGCTGCGGGTGCGCGGGCGCGCAGCTACAGCCGGACACGGCGGCGGGCAGCGCCCAGAGCGCCCAGAGCGCCCAGAGCGCCAGCGCTGCCCCTCGGGCCCCGGGGCTGCTGCCGCTGCCCGCTCGGCTCATGCTCCGCACGGGGGAAGGCTCGGCCCGAGCCGCGGTGTCCCGGCCGCGCTGGGACGCTCAGGGATGGATGCTCCGGATGGGTCCCCGGGGATGCTGGGGACGCCAAACGCTGCTCGCTCCGAGCGCTGCCGGTGCTCGCTGCCTCCAAATCGCCCGGACATGGGACCCTCTTATTTATGGCCCCGGCGCCGAGCCCCGGCCCCGCCTTCCCGCGCTTCAAAGCTCATTTATTGGTGACATCGTCCCAAAGAAGCTCGGGAGTGGAAACGGTAATGGCCAAAGGCTCCCACAAAACCGGCTTTTACGCGGATCTGAAGCTGATTTTCTGAGCGTTTTATCTCCTCCGAGTGAGTTTGCGTCCAGTTTGGATTTCAAAGGCGGCTCTGCGATCTTATTTTGGGCGAGTAAACAGAGCTGTCCTGTGTTAAGCTCCCGATCTTGCCCTGCACTTTGCTGAGCTGCCGTCCCCGTTCGCAGGCGGGACAGAACTTCATTCATGGACAGGAAACCTCTCAATGCTCCGCTTGTGAGCCTCCGGCATCGCTGGTTACAGGGAACAACCAATTACAGCTCAAAGCCACAAGAAAAGGCATTTGAAACGAAATTATTTCATGGCAGGTTTAATTTCGAATAGAAAGGAGAAGTATGCCAGTGGTGTGTTTTGGAGGCACAGCCGTTTCCCTGCATTCCTTGTTAATGCAAATCCTGCTCGGAGCAGATCCGTGCCTGTATTTCCTGGCTGGTGTTGGAAGTGGAATTCAGTGGAATAAATGCAGAGTTCAGAAATCCTTTTCACCTTCAGAGCTTCGGTTGCTGTGGCAATCTGGGTGTGTGTAACCTGTGGGCAGCCTCTTTTTGTAAAGAAAAATGTTCCATGAGGAAGCAACCCGAGGTTTGATTAGAGAGTAATAAAGAACATCTCTGGATTGGCATGCAGGACAGGGCTGCTTAAACAATTCTGTGTTTTGTCACAACCCAAATCAAACCTAGGAATTGAAAATTCATTAACATGACCTGAGCCATTCCAATCCAGGCTCATGAAAATGTATTTTGTTCAGGCTGAGGTTTAGGTGTGCCCAAAGCAGCTTGTTACCTTTAGAGAGAAGTGTACATGTTTTACAGCAGCAGATTTATTTCATTTCTGAACAGTTATACAAATATTAGTGCTCAGATTATTTTTCTTTTTAATTCCCATCCCCCTCAAGACACACTCTGTCTGTTAGAAAAAAAAAAAAAACCACAAATATTCAGAATTATTAGAATTGGGTTTAGTTTTTAGCCTTTAGATCCACACCAACACTGAGCCAGGAATCCTGTACAAAATGTCCTGATTTCACACAGCCACACTTGGACTTTTTACTTTTCCAGTCTAAAGTTTTGGCTCCAAATCATAAGATTGGATCCCAGCCCAGGACTAACACCTGAAAATAATTTAGACCTGTTAACATCTCTGTTCTTACCTAGGAGAAATGGGCTTCTTTCATGTGAGGGGAGGGATGAGAAGGGCTGGAAGCTTGCAGGGGGGTTCCAGCTGCAGGAGGCAGGAAAACCCCCGGGCAGGGCTGCCAGGGGCTGGGCCCAGCCCCTCTGGGACTGCAGTTCCCAAACCTGGACTGGGAAGTGATGAAGGAGTTAATTGGATTGGTTTCCATCACAGGCTGCTGCTATAGATGATCTAAATAGACCAACTTGATCAAATTCAATATCAAATTGAATTCACAAGATTCAAATTATAAAGAAATCTGTTGGGCAAACACTCTTCTCTACGGGTCCCTAAGGCACATTTTGTCCAGGATTCTCCAGAACAACATGTCCAGCTATGCTCTGGGTGTCCTAAAGACTTTTTCTACCTAGTACAATCAAATTAATTACATAATCAATAGCAGAACATTATGCTCAGAACAAAATTTAAAAATTCTTTTATGACAAGTTGCAAATTAGTTGTCCACTATCTTCTAGATAGAGAAGAGAATTAAATACTTTCAACTGAACGTGTAGAGTGCATGTTATCTTTGTTATTTTTTCCAATTTTTTGTGCCCACCGACAGCAGTGTGGGCATTAATTACCATCATTGATTGTCTTCTAACAGCCCCCAGAGCCCTGCACTAAATCCCCTGGGCTCCCAGAGTTTGGGATATTTGTTCTCTGGAGGTGACAGGAGATGGAGGAATGAATGAGGGCCATCCCCTGAGAGCTGCTGGGGAGGGGCAGCTGTGCCAGGGCAGCTCTGCCCTTCCCACTGCCCATCCCTCCTGTGCCCTCCGCCTCTGGCTGCAGGAGAAACCAGGGCTGGGGAGAAACCAGGGCTGGGGAGAAAGCAGAACTGAGAAAAATTCAAGATTTCAGGATAACCAAGAGTTGGGGATAACCCAGGGCTGGGGATAAATCAGAACTGAGAAAAACTCAGGATTTCAGGATAATCCAGAGTTGAGGATTACCCAGGGCTGGGGATCAACCAGGGCTGGGGAGAAACCAGAACTGAGAAAAACTCAGGATTTCAGGATAACCCAGAACTGGGGATAACCCAGGGCTGGGGAGAAACCAGAACGGAGGAAAACTCAGTATTTCAGGATAATCCAGAGCTGAGGAGCACCCAGAGCTGGGGATAAAAATGGGCTGGGAATAACCTAGAACTGAGGAAAACTAAGGAATTCAGGAGCACCCAGAGCTGAGGATAACCCAGGGCTGGGGATAAATCAGGGTTAGGAAAACCCAGAGCTGAGGATAACTCAGGATTTCAGGATAACCCAAGGCTGAGGAAAACCCAGGGCTGGGGATAACCCCAGGGCTGGGGATAACTCAGGATTTCAGGATAACCCCAGGGCTAAGAAAAACCCAGGATTTCAGGAAAACCCAGTATTCTAGGATAACCCAGCATTGTGGGGTAACCCAGGGCTGCAGAATAACCCAGGGCTGAGGAAAACCCAGGATTTCAGAATAAACCAGGATCTCAGGCAAACCCAGGATCCTGGGATAACCCAGGGCTGAGGAAAACCCAGGATTTCAGAATAAACCAGGATCTCAGGCAAACCCAGGATTCTGGGATAACCCAGGGCTGAGGAAAACCCAGGATTTCAGAATAAACCAGGATCTCAGGCAAACCCAGGATCCTGGGTTAACCCAGGGCTGAGGAAACCCAGGATTTCAGAATAAACCAGGATCTCAGGCAAACTCAGGATCCTGGGTTAACCCAGGGCTGAGGAAACCCAGGATCCTGGGTTAACCCAGGGCTGAGGAAAACCCAGGATTTCAGAATAAACCAGGATCTCAGGCAAACCCAGGATCCTGGGATAACCCAGGGCTGAGGAAACCCCAGGATTCTGGGATAACCCAGGGCTGAGGAAACCCCAGGATCCTGGGATAACCCCGGGCTGCAGGATGCCCTGTGCCTGGCTGTGCTGGATTCCTCCTGCCCTTGCTGCCTGCCCAGCCCAGCCCATGTTCCCAGGAAGGCAGCACAGACAGGCAGCTGTCAGTCTGTCCATCCTGGGGCTGCTCACAGCGTCGCTCTGGTGGCTCAGAGCTCACACTCAGCCTGGGAGCTGGGCCAGGAGCACTGAACTCTGCTGCAGGGCATTGTCCACACAGCTTTGGGAAGGGTTTTTCACTGCCAGGGACGTGCCACAGCCACCTCATTGTCCCTTCAGCTGTCAGGCACTTTGAGTCCACGCAGAGTCTCCTGCTTGGGCTGCCTGCTCCGTGCTTTAGCCTCTCCCAGTGCACAGAGCACAATTTTTTATCCATATCAATCTGTTTTTCACTTCATTGTGGCAAATGAATCTTATTTGAGAATGGTAGCAGTCAGGAGTGTCCATTCCCATTGTGATAATTCACTTGTGGGGAATTATGGAAGGAATTTGAGACGGGCCCTCTGAATTGTTTTGATGATGTGGTTTATTTTTCTTATCTTCTACATAGGTAGGAAGGGTGAGTTTAGTTCACATCATTACAGCATGGTTTAGAAGGTCACAAGACCCTTGGTGACAAGACTTTTTAAGGAGTTATTGTTATATATAATTAATATATATAGGTTATAATTATTATAACTTTAAGGAGTTATTAATATATATATATTATATATATATAAACACTACCAACAAGGATCTTAGTGTTTTTGACCTAATCTTTGAATATTTCATTTTATGGATTCATGCTACAGTGTAAGCTTTCTTAGCCAATCATGTTATGACACACAGACCTACAGTGCTGCATTCTAAACTCCTTGTTTACCTTTGTAGCGACTTTTATTTTTTCTAGATTTTAAACTCTAAAACTCTAAACTTTCTTTTACTTAGCTTAACATGTCTCTGCTTTAAACTACAAATCCACATTCTCGCTTCCAGCACTCAAGTTTGGGAGCCTTTTCCAAGGTCTCAGATCAAATCTTGTGTTTAATTCTAAGCTTTGGTTTACAGGCCCAAAGTTCTGAGGGTTCTTTGCATTTCAGATTCCAACAATCCAGAATTTATCTGTTGCCTTCTCAATGCTTTGACTTTGCTCTTTCTTCCCTGGTTCTCCTTTGGCATCGCCATTACCTCTAAAATCTACTTTTATTTTATCTGATGAAGTCACACTACACATCCTGTACCTCACCTGTACAATCATGTTGAAAATTCACAATAGCATTTCACAAAACAGGTGAGCTTTTATGGATTTTAAATTCCAATGCCTCCATGTGAGCTACAGCCTGCTTCAAACAGGAGGGAATTTAGAGCTGTCACCTCTGAAATACTACAGCAAAAAATCCTTACACTTTATAGGCACAGCAATTTGGGTAATTGTTTTATAAAGTGGCAAAGTGTTACTTGACTTTTGAGGCAGCAGTTTTCCAAACAGTTGGTGGAAGGATGAATTAAACACTGACATGCCAGAATCAAAATCGAATTTGTTTCTGCGGAGTTTTTATTTTCAGGGTTTCTTCCAGGGATCTGTGGGAGCTGCTCTCATTGATTCACTGCAATTACACTTTGTGTTTTCCTTCCTAATGATAATTTCTGTTTTCATGCTGTGCAGGTTTGAAAGCAGCAGACTTTCTGCCATCAGATCCCTCTGTGCTCATTTAGATCATTGGG